AAAAACAGCAGGTCTGTGGAGAGAAATCAGAGTTAACATTTTGGGTCGAGTGACCCTTCCTCAGAACTGAGGAAGAGTCGCTTGACCTGAAACGTTAGCTCTGATTTCTCTCCATAGATGCCACAATACCTTTTTTTTTTTGTTTAATTCACTCGTGGAACGTGGGATATGGAACGTGAATGTCACTGGCTGGGCCAGCATTTATTACCCATTCCTGGTTGCCCTTGAGGAGGTGGTGGTGAGCTGCCTTCTTGAACCACTGTGGTGGTATTCAAGCAGGCTGCTTTGTCCTGGATGGCTTTAAGCTTCTTAATGTTGTTGGAGCTACACCCATCTGGGCAAGTTGGGATGTATCCATTACACACCTGACTTGTGCCTTGTAGCTCATGGACAGGCTTTGGAGAGTCAAGAGTTGAGTTACTTGCTGCAGTATTCCTAGCCTTTGATCTACTCTTGTAGTCACTGTGTTGATGTGGCAAGTCCAGTTGAGTTTCCCTGGTTGATGGTAACCCACAGCATATTGATAGTGGAGGATTCAGTGATGGTAACATCATTGAATGTCAAGGGGCAGAAGTTAGGTTGTCTCCTGTTGGAGATGATCGTTGTCTGGTGTTTATGTGGTGTGAATGTTACTTGCCACTTGTCCAGATCTTATTGCACTTGAATAATGGACTGCTTCAGTATCTGAGGAGTTGTGAATGGTACTGAACATCGTATAATTGTCGGTGAACATCCCCACTTCTGATGTTATAACGGAGGAAAGATCATTGATGAAGCAGCTGAAGATGGTTGGGCCTAGATCACTCCCCTGAGGAACTCCTGTGGAGATGCCCTGGAGCTGAGATGACTGACCTCCAACAACCATGACCATCTTCCAATGTACCAGGTATGACTCCAACCAGTGGAAAGTTTGCCCCCCTCATCCATTGATGCCAGCTTTGCTACGGCTCCCTCATGTGACACTTGGTCAAATGCAGCCTTGATGTCAAGGGCTGTCACTCTCACCTCACCTCGAGAATTCAAGACTTTTGTCCATGTTTGAATTAAGGCTGTAATGAAGTCAGGAGCTAAGTGGCCCTGGCAGAACCCAAACTGGGCGACACTGAGCAAGTTATTGCTGAGCAGGTGTTGCTTGATAGCACTGTTTATGACATTGTCCATCACTTTACTGATAATCAAGTATAGGCTGATGGGGCATTAATTGCCTGAGTTGCATCTGTCCTGCTTTTTATGCACAGGACGTACCTGGGCAATTTTCCACATTGTCAGGTGGATGCCAGTGTTGTAACTATACTGAAGAGCTTGGCTAGGGGACCAGCAAGTTGTGGAGCACAAGTTTTTAGTACTGTTGCCAGGATGTTGTCAAGGCTTGTAGCCTTTGCAGTATCTAGTGCCTCCAACCGTTTATCTCATGTGGAGTGAATCAAGTTGGCTGAAGATTGGTATCTGTGATGCTGGGGACCACAGGAGGAGACTGAGACGGGTCATCCACTTTGCATTTTTGGATGAAGATTACTGCGAATGCTTCAGCCTTATCTTTTGCACTGATGTGTTGGGCTCTTCCATCATTAAGGATGGGGATATTTGTGGAGCCTCCTCTCCAGTGAGTGGTTTAATTATCCACCAACAGTCACAAGTGAATGTGGCAGGACTGCAGAGCTTAGATCAGATCCATTGGTTGTGGGATTGTTTAGCTCTGTCTATCACTTGCTGCTTATGTTTTTTGGCATGTAGGAAGTCCTGTTTGGTGGTTTCACCAGGTTGATACCTCATCTTCAGGTATGCCTGGTGCTTCTCCTAGCATGCCCTCCTGCACTCGCCATTGAACCAAGGTTGATGCCCTGGCTTGATGGCAATGGTTCTGTGGGGGATACACTAGGCCATGAGGTTGCAGATTGTGCTGGAGTACAACTCTGTTGCTGTTGATGGCCCACAGTGCCCCATGGATGCCCATTCTTGAGCTTCTATTTGACATCTATCCCATTTAGAATGGTTACATGCCACACAACACGATGGAAGGCATTCTCAAAGTGATGGCAGGACTTCATCTTCACAAGGGCTGTGCAGAGATTAGTCATCGATATTGTTATGTGCAGATGCACCTGCAGCCAACAGATTGATAAGGATGAGGTCAAGTTTGCTTTTCCCTCTTGTTGGTTCCCTCATCACCTGCCGCAGACCCAGTCTAGCAGCTATGTCCTTTAGGACCCGACCAGCTCGATCAGTACTACTGCTGCCAAGCCATTCTTGGTGATGGACAATGAAATCCCCCACCCAGAGTACATTTTGTGCCTTTGCCATCCTCAGTGCTTTCTCTAAGTGTTTTCAGTGTGGAGGAGTGATTCATTAGCCAAGGGAGAACGGTATGTGGTAATCCGCAAGAGATTTCCTTATCCATGTTTAAACTGCTGCCGTGAGACTTCACGGGCTTTGGAACCAATCTTGAGGATTCCCAGGGTAATTCCTTCCTAACTGATTAATTTATTATAGTTTTTCAAGGAAGCTTTAGCCAGAGTGGGTGGAGGGAAACCAGTAATTGTGTTGTATTTGGACTTCCAGTAAACATTGGACAAGGTCTTTCACAAAATATTAAGTCATAAGAGGTGTTGGAGGTAGTAATTTGGTATGGATAGAGAGTTGGCTAATATATAGATTCTTGATTAATAGGGGAATCAAAGGTTACAAGGAACATGCGGGAAAGTGGTCACGAGGAATGTTGGATCAGCAATGATCCTATTCAATTTCAGAGCAGGCTTGAGGGGTTGAATGGTATAATCCTGTTCCTGTTTCATATGGTCTTATGGGTTGAAATCCCACAACATGCTCCTTAATGGCATTGTGTATCTCCCCGCAGCAGTTCAAGGTAGCAGTTAACTATCACTTTCTCAAGAGCAACTAGGGATGAGCAATAAATGGCATGGGTATGCCACATCCCATGAACAAATAAAAAATGTCCTTCAGCTCAAGCTCAAGGAGTTCAGGAATTTTCAAGAAACAACAAACCATTTCTACAATAGCAGCAAGAACCATCAGAAATCAAGCAGCACCTACATGGTAAGTAATTGGTAAGACCTTTTTTTTAAATAGTGCTGGTGAGGTGGGAGTGGGGTCCTTTCTCAGCTGTGTGTTTAAGCAATGGCATGAGCTTGTACACTGAGCTCTAAAATGCTGGCACCAAATCAGCGATACATGCTGAACAAAGCTACAATATTCCTACTCTGCATACTACTGGATGACATTCCTTGAACAGGCTGATGTTCTCACCAAAGCCACTTCTGGTATGGCTCACAATAGAAGAGTTCATACCATTAATGAATGCCATCTTGTAAGCAAAAATGCCAAAAAAAAAATTGGGATTGAACGAAATGAAATTTTGTAGCCAATAAATATGTATTTCCTTAGAAAGTTACATTGAACATTTTTTCAATGAAAGCTCATTTTCCAATTTCATCTACTTCATGATTTCACCTTATTTAAATGTTATTCTGTGGATAGATTGACAATATCACACAAAAAAATCAACATTTCCATTTTGCTTGTGATATCAAAGAGTATCGGGCATATTTTTGGTAATCTTATTTTTCATCTGCAAACAATGATAATACTGTGCTACCACTGGGCAATCATTCTTTCTCTTGTTCAAGCTGCTGTCCATCGTGCTATCAAAGATTGAAAGATGTTTAAGGGATAGATAAACAGGTTTACTAATGGATTTTTCACCTGTGCTTGCTGTGCCATGATAGAAGTGGTTTAATGTCAGTTATTTGTCTTATTGCTGTTAAATAACTTTACAGTTTACCAGTCCATTGGAATTTAATATCGACAGGATGTTTTTTCAGCCATGTAGTCCTGTGGTATATTGAAAGGCTTACACTGGGGGGTATTTATTGTTAATTGTATGATAGCCATGATATTGCCCAACAGGCCATCCATTCACCATTAACAAATGACCACCACAAAACGGAGTAGCTGCTCAGTGAATATTTGAGCTTTGAATTTCATTGCTATGGAAACAAGTTATAAATACCAAACATGAACTATTATAGACTGTCAGACAAAAAATTAACTGAGGTAAAATTGCTGCCGTGTAGTTTGGAATAACCATTCCTTTGACAGGCAATTTAACTGACTTATTTTTCGTCATGTGCACACATTCTTCTTGCCAGTGAAACACTCAAGTGACATTTCGTGAAGTGAGCTACAGCCTTGCAGCACCTTCTGAAGTTGGTCTCTGAAGGCGAGAGGTATTTTCTAATAAATAAAAAAAGTTATCAAAATTTGAAAAGGCATTTGTTACAATGTTATTTGACTGTAAAAAAATAATGCTGTACTTAGCCAGCATTTCAGTTCTTATTGTGTACTGTTCAGATGATAAAAGATAAACTTGGTGGAATTTCACTTTTTACCATGAAACAATTGACACTTTTATTTTACAGACTGCAGGACACAAACACCTTACCTGGTCTTAATATAATCTACATTTTCAAGTCGGCTCTAGTATCTCATTTTAGTAGAGCTATATGTTCAGAATACTAACACACAGGAAAATGGCAGAGTCATTTCCAGCACACATGCCATTCAGCAATTTAATTCCATGCTAGCCACTCCCACTCTTACAGACTACCCCTACAGGCCTGCAAGATTATTTTTTTCAAATGTCAATCCAATTTCCTTTCCATATCATTGACTGTCACCAGCCTCAAGGCAGCAAACATCCAGAAAGTAAACCGATTTAAATTTGGACAGCAGTGGGATTTGAACTTAGACATCTGCAAAGGCTGCAGCCTTAATTCAGGATATTAAACCATCGGGTGACACAACTACTTAAATTCCACTAGTTGCCATGGTAGAATGTGAACTCATGTCACTACAGCATTCATCTCGCCTTCTGGATTACCAGCAACATTTTCATATGCATTTGTCCTCTTAAATACTAACTTATTAATTGCTGCAACATGAGCTTTATTGTTTAAAATCAATTCAGTGAAGAATTATCTTACCTCAACACACAGGAAAACAGTCCACCATCTTGCAATTCTGTGGGACGAAACCAAATGGAGTCCTCTTCTTTACTCATTCTAATTCCATCAAATGGTATTGGCTCTTCAAAGTCCCCATGACCGCTACTTTTATACCACATCAAGCTAAGTCCTGAACTTTGAGCTATGGTGTAGTTGGCCCTGATGTATCCATAAAATAATGCACATTTCACTCGCACTGGTTCCCCCAGAAGAACTTGATATTTCTTGTAGTCCACAGACCAATCTGTACATCCATCAGCTGCAATAAATAATAGAAAACAGATCAAAATATTTGTAACATTGAACATAATTTATTCACTTCAATGTTGAGATGCATTTAACTCTTGTGCATTTTTGCCATGTAGATGAAAATAAATATTCAGTCTACCCGTAACATAATGCATTGATAAAAGAAAGCTACATAGGGATAATGGGTGGCCCTGCTGTTACCAATCACAGGCCACATTTTAGTCAAAGCATCAAAGACACAATAAACTTTTCTTCATCTACTTACAACAGAATAGTCTCTACAAACAGAGAAAGATTAAGAACATAAGTTTGGCAATTTTAAAAAAAAACACTCTTGGATGTATGTTCTACTGGCAAGGCTGCTACTTGTCTCCTCCTTTATTGTCCTACGTTAACAGCTTGCTGGGCCACGTTAGAGGGCAGCTAACAGTTAATCACATTGCCTATGACTGGAATCACATCTCAGCTAAATCTGGTAAGGATGGCAGGCTTTCGTCTCTAAAGGTTAGGATGGAATTTGTTGAGTTTTAAGTAGCTTCTAACAAATAATGCTTCCTGTGAATAATGAATTAAGGTATTTCTTGAGAACAGAGAAAATATATACAGCAACATGATGTAATATATTTTGCTTAGAATCTAATTATGAGTTTTGAATTTTATAATTTATACATATATTGCAAAGTTTCCAATTTAAAGCTGCATGTTCATCTGCTCAATATCAAAAAACATTCAATGGGAAATCTAGGGTCCCTCTGCACAGAATGATTCATACTATAAATGGAGGTCTTGCCTGAATATTTTCCAGTATTTTCTAAATTCTTCATTTGGGCCCCATATCCAAGGAAGGATCGGCATTGGAGTGGTCTAAAAGGAGGTTTACACGAATTATTCCAGAGATGAAGGGCTTGTCATGTAAGGAGCAGTTGAGGACTCTGGGTCTGTACTGATGCAGTTTAGAAGGATGAGAGGGATTTGATTGAAGCCTTTAGATTAGTAAGAGGCCTGGATAGAGTGGACACGGAGAAGATGTTTCAACTAGTAAGAGAGATGAGGATCCAGGACACAGCCTCAGAGTGAAGGGACAATTCTTTAGAACTGAGATGAGGAGGAATATCTCCAGCTGAAGCTTGATTGTTTGTTGAACTCAGTGACACAGGAGACTGTGGAGGCCACGTCACTGTGTATATTTAGGACAGAGATAGATAGGTTCTTGATTGGTAAGGGGATCAATGCTTACGTAGAGAGGGAAGAAGAATGGTGAGAATGGTGGGCAGACTCAATCAGCTAGATAACCTAATTCTGCTCCGATATCTTATGATCTTATGTTTTTGTATATGAACTAGATAAATATATGAGAAATTATTCAGTTTGAAATGTTGGAAAATATGTGTGCGTCTTTGCTGAGGTCTAAATGAAAGGCAGCTGAGGCACAGAAGGGATAAGGAACACTTCAATTAGTCGAATAGTTTGAAAATAACTGGGTGCCTATGCTGATCAAAAATCCCTATGAGAAGTCTTGATTGGTTAAACTACGCAGTACTGTACTTGCTGCTGTTGCTATGGTGTTCTTGTTGCAGATATTTCCCGACATTTTTAGCTGCGCATCATTAATAGCCATTCATGAGCATAGTGTAATGCTGGAAAGTTTATACTAGTTGTGTGTCATGTACAGGCAATTAATAACAAGAACATTAAAATATTATTCCTGGGGACGCTTTATATGTGTGTGTATATATATATATATATATGTATGTGTGTGGTAAAAATTAATGCAAACGATAATGATGCAGCTTCCCTGAGCACTTCATCATTATGTCAAATTACCATAGAAACTGTGCACCATTACCTGTAAAATGAATAGAAATGTGAGCGTTTTCTTAGAACCACTTCCTATAAAAGATTTTTAAAAACCTTGCTTTTGATAACATGTTGCAACACATATTATGCAATGATGTAGGCAAATGAATTAAATTCAATTAATGAAATGTGGAAGTGAAAGGTAGCCTCAGAATGGTGACCATGAAACCATTGTTGATCATCCTAAAAGCCATTTGCTTCACGTATGTGTAGTGATTGAAAGAGGTCAGCCAGGTGGATCACACAGAATACGAGTTCCCTGATTGGTCCAGTTTAATAGCCCCAATCAGGGAGCCCTGGTTGACAGATATAAACAGGAGTGTCAGGGGTTCTTCTCAGTCTAGGAGTCAGCTCTATGCTAGCTGGACCAGCGTCCTGTACTGTGCACATGTAAATAAAGGGTGACTTGGTGAAGGAATGCTGGCCTCTGTGGAGTTATTTCAGGAAGGAAATGTGTTGTCTTTCCCTGGTCTGACCTACACGTGACTCCGAACCATAACAGTATAGTTGACGCTTAATTGGCCTTAAAAACACATTTCAAGGGCAATTAGGGATAGAAAAACAAATGCTAATCTTGCTGCAATGCACATATCCATTCAAAGAATAAACCAATTAGAAATTTTACTAGATGACAGATTTCTGAATGAATTACTGAAGAAAATAAAAGCAGGTACAGCATTGTTATAAACATAATCATGAAATAAATTGGGCTGAGCGCATGAAAATTCTGAAATATCTCGTCAGTCCCTTTGTCCTTGCCAGTTGAACAAGTTTTACTATACGTACACTCATTTTGTGCAGGGTCTGACTGTTATTGACAGAACAGCAAATCTAATGGAGGTGGTATGGGCTGGAGTCAGGGGAAATCTGGTTCTTCAATGTAATGCAAATAATGAAGAGTCATTAATTGCATTTGCCCAGATTTTTGTTAATGTGCAAAAGGCAAAATGTTATCTACTCTCCCTCTGGAAGGAGAGGTTGCAGAGGAGAGGTAGGTCCACAGCAGGCACTAATAGCAGGATATAAGTCAGCTCAGTTGAAAGCAAAACCAGTAAAGCCAGGCATTGGGGGAAATAATTTTCAGGACACAGTTCATGGTCTGTAATTAGTGAATGCAGTATGGAGTCCAAAAGGCTGCAAAGTGCCAAAAGTTGAAAATGGTGTGCTGTTCCTTCAGCTTGCATTGGGTTTCACTGGAATACTGCAGCAGACCAACAACAGAAATGTAAGCATGAGACCAAGATGGAATTAACAAGCAACTGGAAAGTCAAGATTATGCTTGAATCCCTGCCACAGCCCTTCTTCTGGTGAGATAGTACATGTTCTGGAGGTTATTCAACTATTGGAAGAGAATAGAAGAACCTCATCCAGTTCCAAACTGACATATTCTGAATCCCTTATGACTACTCCTTCACCTATCCAAGTGCACATCAACGGTGGCAACCCTGCCCTCACGAAGATCAGCCAATTCAATAAGCAAATGATGGGATCTTCTGAGCGTATCTGGTTTTGTGTCTCACTTCCTTGCCGAGCTGCAACATGACGGAACTCAGTGATTCATGAAATGAGAATCAATGTTTACATTGCTAATTGGTATATTACCAGCATGTCCATAAAAATCCAACCCAGAATTGCAAAACAAGCAGGTTTTTTTCTCAGGTAATACATGCAGAGAATCCTCCTTTTCCATTAATAAATCATAAGCAGAAAGAGATCACTGTGTAGAAAGCCATCTCATTTTCTATTTGTACATATGTTTGCAAGCTTGTGTGTGACATTTTCTGAACTTTGATCTTCCATCAGATTTTGTTATCAACTTTATAGAGTTTACTTCAGTCGGAACTATCTGTGACCAACACTACTGTTGCTGACAAGGAGGCATGGCATAGACAAAGGTCTTTTAAAAGGTTTAGAGACGCAGAAGTCAAGTAGAAAGCACAATGCCCCATAAAGAACAGAGGTTAATTTAGGAACATTAATGGTCCTTTTCCTGCCAACTACTGTGTCAAAATTATGATAAATGTAGAAAAAATGTTGCTAAACATAGGTCGAAATTGGCTCAGACTCATTTTTTTGGCATAAGACTTAAAATAAAATGAGGATCAGGTCTAATCATAGTGAGCTGCAACGACCTATGGAGCCTTCAGTGCCATTTAAGAATTCCAATTTGGGTTGGTTGCCATGTCAGCAATAGGTTTTAGGTCAGCCCATTGGAGTTGGTGGGTAATGGAAGTCTAAGAGTAAGGGAGAAGCTCTGGCTTCACATGAAAACAAATCTGACTTCCAGCAATCCCTTTAAGCACTTAAATAAATGCAAATTACTGTGAGATCTGAAATAAAAGTGTTGAAAAATACTCAGTGAATATGGAAGATCAATGCTGAAAGGAAGTTCATGTTTCAAGTCCAATATTATTATTACATTCTTTTATTTCAATTCACATGACGTTGCCATCATTGGCTAGGCCAGCATTCATTATCCAACCCTAATTGTCCAGAACGCAGTTGAGAGTCAACCACATTGCTGTGGGTTTGGAGTCACATGTAGGCCAGACCAGGTAAGGACGGCAGTTTCCTTCCTTAATGTCCATTTGTGAACCAGATGTTTTTTCTTCCCTGATAGTTGACAGTGATTTCATGGTTATCAATAGATTCTTAATTCCAGACTTTTATTGAATTCAAATTCTACCAACTGCCATGGTGGGATTCAAACCTAGGTCCCCAAAACATTACTTGGGTCTTCAGATTACTAGTCTATCAACTAGTCCATCGCCTCCCCCAAATATGGGTCTTCTTTGGAAGTGAAGGGGTGCAAAAAAAACAGAAGATGGTATTTATGCTCTGAGGTCGTCAAACTCAATGTTGAGTCCTAAAGGCTGTAAAGTGCTGTTCCTTCAGCTTGCATATGACTTTGTTGGAGCACTGCAGCAGGTTTAGGCTATCAGTTTTATTTTCATTCTCTTGTGAAGCATGGACATCGCTGGCTGGTCAGTACCTATTGCCTGTCCCTGGTTGCCCTTGAGAAGGCGGTGTTCAGCAGTTATCTTGAACCATTGGAGTCCAGATGCTGTAGGCAGACCCACAATGCCATTAGGGTGAGAAATCCAGGGTTTTGACCAAGCAACAGTGAAGTAACAGCAATATATATCTAAGTCA